ACTTAAGACTAAGAAATGACAAGATAGCTTTAATAAGTGGGTTAAATTTACATTTTATGCCATTGATAGGCCCAAATACGAGACTGCCATGATAAGCATGCCCCAAACTCTCGTTGGACACACAAAACCCATGAAAACCACCCCCCAAATCGAAGAAAATCTTTTACAAAGAGGAAAGTTTGACTGAGCACCATTTTCTTTGAAAAATCCTTGTCCATTTTCCTGCAAAAGCTCTGTTGAAGCCCAAGCTCTTTAATTAGACAATTTTCAAAACTCTCCCCCTTCCTTTCTCTATAAATACTAATCCAACTCAAGCTCCAGGGAACACCAGGGGAGGACTTTGGGGGCAGATATAGAGGAGAGACCTTAAAAGCATTCCCCAATTTCTATAGAAATCCCATTCCCAACTCTACCTTTGTAAAACTCCAAATCCACCCACTATGTTTCAGATCTAAAATTTGTATGAAATCTCCAAGCATTGAACCATATCAAACTAATATTGAGTTCATTTAACCACTCTTTCGATCAATTTGATTGTTGGAATGTCGCTGACAATGTTACATATGAGAGGTGAGCCTCTCATCGCATTTGTAGCTCGAGTTTGTTTTTTTTTTTTTTGTTGCTTGAAGTTTTGAGAACTTGGAAAATCATTGTTCTCAACTTTGAGGTGAGGGTTTTAGGAAAATTAATACTTAAGATCCGATAATATCACCTCAAAATCGTTCTCAATAGAAGTTAAAAGCATGTTTTTCTAGATTTCAAAAATTCCAACAACTATTTCTATTATTTTTCATAAGAAGTGGAGCCTAGACAACTTCCATATTGAGCTGCTACAGTGGCTGTGCCTAACACCTTCCATCTTCCAATCCTTGGGACCCAAATTCTCTTGATTGTGTGCCTATTTCAAATTTGAAAATGATGGCCCATTTCTTCTGAAAAATGGGTGGCGACTTTTTTTTTTTTTTTGAGCCATCCATGAGCTTTTYGAAGTTCACAGTTATTATTTAAGAATAGATTATTTAACAATAATGGAAGATGCCATGAAGATATAGGAAACATCAAATTCCCCTTATTCCCCTCTCTTTGCTTGAAATCATGTCTATAGATATAAATATTGTTTGATTTGGAAAAATAATCTTAATAAATTATGACCCTATTTTTATGGGAAAGTGGAGAAATAGAGGGGAATTAGACATATAAATGAARGAGAGGATAATAAAACATATATTGAGCTAATTAAGGAGAGAAGTTAAGTTGTTAGACAGACATGAGTTGTGGGGGAGAGGAGAGAAAGTTAAGGAGAATGTAGGGTTGGGGTAATGGAGCAAGAACCAAGGTGATGTGGACCGTCTTGCTATTTATATATATATATATAGTAACAGGGACTCATGCGATGTAGGATGGACAAAATGGAGAGAGTGTATCTAGAGTTTTATGTGATAAGAAAATGCCACTTAGATTAAAAGGAAATTTCAATAAAACAATTGTAAGGCTAATTATGTTGTATAAAATAGAGTATTGGACAATCAAAAAACATATCCAAAAATGTGTATGCCGAAGTAAATAGAAAAAATAGAATAAAGTCATTCGTAGAAACTTAAGAATAACTCCAAAAAGGGAAAGAGGTGGACTAAAAWGGACATGTTTAGAAGTATTAAGAAATAACTTAAGAATCAATAATTTATCAATGCATGGCATTAAATAGAATGGACTAGTAAAACAAGATTCATGTAGCTAACTCCATATAGTTGGAATAAGGCTTAATTAGATGATGATGATGATGATGATGTTTGATACAACGAAAGAGTCTAGTTGGGACACAGGGAGCTCATAGTTTTATATGTTGTTATCTTGATTACAACAATTTCATATGGTCACCAATACAATAACATGATTTCCCTCATTTTAAATTCAAAGCTTCAGCAATCAGTTTTTTTCTCATCATTGGGAGATTGCAAGAAAATGCCAAGGTTGGATGGGATTGTAGAGTTGTAGTATATGTAGATGGTATTTGGTATGTGGTTCCATTGTAGTTTATCTGAAAATGATATCAGCCTAATGCCACATGGGTGCTTCCCCCAATGAATTTTGAAATGTAGTTTAGTTCAACCATGTATTAAATAAATATTTTCTCGGGTTGTGTAAAAGCTCTCTGTTTAAGGGATTTGGATTTAGATTCAGAAACAAGATGTGATAGGACACATGTCCTCCAATGTGATAGAAGCCAAGTATTATCCAATCCCAATCCCAAAAAGTGCCAACTCATCACTGAGTGAATGAATATAAGAGAATAATCCACATTCTACCAGTTGTACATCTTGATTTAACAAATTCTCAACGTAATTAACGTAGCCCGGCCCTGATTTAAATTGCACCCCTAAATGATTTTTCACTGGAATTCAAACTTTTATATCGAAGAGAATCCACTAGTCAAGGACGTTTTCAAACAGTGCAATATTTGTAGAAAAAAGACGATATAAAACGTCTACCATTTTGTCACAACACAACCCACAGAAATATATAGCCTTATTATGACCCGGCCACCGGCCCACCGGAGTGTCGGTTGTCAGAAAAACACCATACAGACTGGTATAATTTTCTGAGTCGTTAAATAGATAGATGAATGCAATGCCACTACTAACTCCACCGCAGCCGCTAGAAGACACAGCTTGAATGTATGTCCGATCCATTCAAACAAATATCTCATCCCTTTAAACAGTTTATATATTTGGTTTGGTTTGAAAGAAAAAGATAAGAAAAGGTAGGGAAATCTATAAAAAGTTTTAAACTCACTTTGGAAAGAAAATAAATACAAATATGTATAGTGCAAATAGAGGTTTAGAAACTGGAAAGAGTATAAATATAAATACATACAAAATACAAATTTTTTTATTCTATATATTTATATTTGTATAATTTCCAATACAAATATATATGGTGCAAATACATACAAAAATATATACAATACAAGGTTTTGCACTCTTGGGGGATGCTTGGAACCGTGGCCGTTTTTCAAAAAAATGGGGCCACGTTGGATC